GGCGATGCCGCTATTCTTTTCAATGCAATCGTAAATGGGGTCATTTTCATTTCTTTCTGATAATTCGTTAGCTAAGGCTTCAGTACATCTCTCTCTATGGCTCCTTCACCGGCTGCTCTAATTCCGCTGCACATTACATGGCTTATGACAGTCCGTGGGTGGTGTCATTTTACCAGTCCAGGAAAAGAATGGAAAAGTCACCTTCCTGTACTTCCCTTTCGCCTCCCTCATTTGTGTTTGTGTTAAATAGTACCTCTGCAGACACTCAAAACATCAGCGTTGCACCTCTTGCTTCCACAGTGAAACATAATTCAGAAAACTCAAGAGGAGAAGGAAAGCTTATTATACTCACTCCTAGTTTGCTCCCTGTGTTCTTTCTTCCGCCCGATGTTCCCACGTCCCTGCTTTTATCGCTTCCCTGTGTTTATAGGGCTGCCCGTCGCCGCGCCTTTGGACCCGCGGGGATGGCCCCACATTCCTTATTCTTCTTTGTCTCCAAGTGTCTCCCTTCCTCCGTTACTCGGGAAGGACACTTGCAGTGGCTGTGTGATCCTGGCTGACAGTTCTTCCTTTCAGCGCGGAGCAAATACCCACCACTCGCTCTGGAACCAGGGCTTTTCATGGGAGGCGGACTGTCGTTCTAATTGGTTTCCCTCTGTCAGTGAGGCGTCTCTTCTCTCTGCCTGCTTTTGTAGGTTTTTCTTTGTCCTTAGTTTTCAGGAGTTTAATTGTGATGTGCATTGGCATGAATTTCTTTGAGTTCATTATGTTTGGAGTTGTCAACCTCTTAAATCTGTACATGTATGTTGGCGTTTTTGTTTGGGTTTTGTGTTTGTTTGTTTGTTTGTTTTCTTGACAAGTTTGGGAAGCATTCAGCCACTATTTTTTCAAGTACTAGTTCCACGCTGCTCTTTGTCACCTCCCTCCAGGACCCCAGTGACCCAAATGTTAGATGCTGTACTCCGTCTATATCCATGGGTTTCCTAGTTTAGTTTTCTAGTCTGTTCTCTCTGTTCGGCCTGGGTAGTTTCTGTTGTTTGGTCTCTCCTGTACCAATGGTCTGCACATTGGCTCTTTCCTGTCTGGTCCTCCCTATTCTGTTGTCGGGCCCATCTCCTGAGCTCTTTATTTTCCTTACTGTGTGTGTCGTTTGTAACATTTCCATTGGGCACCACTTTTACATCTTTTTTTCCCAGAGCTTTTTTTTTTCTTTGCTGAGGCTTTCTGGTGTTTTAATTGTTTCAAGCACGTTTATAATTGCTGCCTAAGCATTGTTTGTCCTGGCAAGTTTAAAATATCTGTCAGAAAATTCTCACTCTCCTGTCATCTCAGTGTTGGCATCTGTTGGTGATCTTTCTATGTGCTATTGGGGTGGCCAAAAAGTTGGTTCGGTGTTTTCTGTACGATGGCTCTAGTAGTGCTTAGCTGTCTTTCACTTCATTCAAAACAATTTTGTTAGGTTGTATTGTGACAGCTGTCATATCAGCATGCATTTAAAAAACATCAAAATTGGTGAATTTTTGTGTAGCCATCTTAATACTGAAGATGGAAAGAAATACATATTTTTGGCATATTATGCTTTATTATTTCAAGAAAGGTAAAAGTGCAACTGAAAGGCAAAAAAAAAAAAAAGATGTGTGCGCTGTATGGAGAAGGTGCTGTGACTGATCGAACGTGTCAAAAGTGTTTTGCAAAGTTTCATGCTGGAGATTTCTCGCTGGACAATGCTCTACCATCAGTTAGACCAGTTGAAGTTGATAGCGATCAAATCAAGACACTGAGAACGATCAAAGTTCTACCACGTGGGAGACGGCCGCCAACATACTCAAAATATCCAAATCAATATAATGTGCACCAGCTTGATTATGTTAATCACTTTGATGTTTGGGCTCCACATAAGTAAAAAAAACAAAAACAAAAACCCTTGACCATATTTCCGCATGCGATTCTCTACTTAAATGTAATGAAAACATTACATTTTAAAACAAATTGTGATGGGTGATGAAAAGTGGATACTGTACAATAATGGGGAACGGAGAGATCGTGGGGGCAAGTGAAATGAACCACCACCAACCACACCAAAGGCCGGTCTTCATCCAAAGAAGCTGATGTTGTGTATATGGAGGGGTTGGGAGGGAGTCCTCTATGATGAGCTCCTTCCGGAAAACTGAACGATTAGTTCCAACAAGTATGCTCCCAATTAGACCAACCGAAAGCAGCACTCGACGAAAAGCATCCGGAATTAGTCAACAGAAAACACATAATCTTCCATCAGGATAACACAAGACCACGTGTTTCTTTGATGACCAGGCAAAAACCGACACAGCTGGCTGGGAAGTTCTGATTCATCCACCATATTCACCAGTCGCTGCACCTTGGATTTCCATTTATTTTGGTCTTTACAAAATTCTCTTAATGGAAAAAATGTCAATTCCCTGGAAGACTGCAAAAGGCACCTGGAACAGTTCTTTGCTCAAAAATATAAAAAGTTTTGGAAAGATGCAATTACGAAGTTGCCTGAAAGATCGCAGAAGGTGGGGGAACAAAACGGTGAATACGTTGTTCAATAAAGTTATTAGTGAAAATGAAAACGGTGTCATTTATTTTTACTTAAAAGCCTAGTGAACTTTGTGACCAGGTCTCCCAGATCCTTGGCATCAGGGATTTGAGAGTGAAACCTGGGCATTTTCTGAAACCTGTTTTCTCGTTTACACCCCTCCGTGGCTGACCTCCTGCATCAGGAGAAGACAGGGCACCCACCCCCTCCACCGCCAAGTTTCGTTTCCCACGGCCCCTCTGTGGGCACCCCAGGAGCAGCGGCCCCTCATCACTGCCCGGCAGGGTGCGCGGTCCTGCCCTCTCCTGCTGTCCTTGCTGTTGGTCGGCGCCAAAAGCCCGGACTCTATCTCCTCCGGCGGCCCCCGCAGGGGCCTGGGAAGGGGGCTTCCGGCCTGCTCTGTGGGGGTGGCTGTCCAGCCCTTCGTCCACATGGGTTCCACTGACTGCCTAGTGGGCAGGGACGGAAATGAAAGTCCGGGGTCGTCCCGCACGCCGCCCCCCCCCCCACCCCGTGCCGGCTCTGCTGCCAGTGCGGCGCCGGCGGGGTCACAGCTTCTCCGTGGGGTTTGGCGAGAGCACAGAAGGCGTCGCCCACAAGTCTTCTCCTTCCCCCGTTCCCCCTTCCTGGGTCCTTTGGCTGCGGAAAGAGGCTTTGGTTGGGTCTGTGCGCGCTGGCCTGTTCGGTTTGCCTTCAAGCCCAGGACCCCCGAGGGGAGAAGACGTCCCAGGGAGCCGACCACCAGAGCGCCATCGCTTAGGTCCCGAGGGTGCTTAGCCAGTGGGCTTCTGCGGTCCCACTCTCAGTCTTGCTTTGTTTGTTTTATATGTAATGTCCTGTGTTTTCGTATAATGTCCGAATTTTTTCAGTTGCACTTAATGGGAGGAATAGAGAAAAGTATGTCTATGGCTAGAAATTTGAGGAAACATGATATCTCTGGTCTCTCCCAGTGAATTCAGTTACTTAATTTTAACATGAACTTAAGAATCTTTACAGCAAGATTTTAGCATGGTTTTCCCTAAACCAATAGGATAAGTCTGTATTTGTAAGAATAGAAATCGTCCTATTTTAAATTAATAACAGTTACATTGCTTGTAACAATTATTTGTCAGGGAATCATTATTTTGACAAAAATTGAGTAATTATAATTATGATGTTTAGAAAAACAAGTATATCAAAATATATTGCAAACATGTATTATTTACTGTTCTTTATATATCCCTTACATTATGTTTTTACAATTAAGTTATAGAAAACAACATTATATAGTCATAAAATCTGAAATGTTTTTCAAAAGTAAATTACTGTTCTCAATTACTATACATACCTGTATATTTTCAAATTTAAAAAGATTGCTCTAATTTATTGAGTATTTATTGAAAACAGCACGTGCAGCCAGCGTGCTGGAGAGCTAGCAATGAGCAAGACACAGGCAGCCCCCACCTCAGTGAACCACAGCGTCCTCCTACGATAAAACAGGAAATCAGACCTCGGAAGGCATTGCGTGTTGTTATGAATAGTGCTGCTCAGGAAAATTAGAATAATATCTTTTGAGCATATTACTCCAAGTACTATATAGAGAAAAACAGACTTCTCAGGCATTGGCGTTTGTCATCAATGTTGATTGAAATTAAATTGAAAAAGGAAAACGATGCTGTGAAACATTCCATCGATGCACAGCGAGCCCACCGCGGCAGCTTCCGACAGAGCTCGCGGGTCCACGGTGTTGGTGCAGAGCGTGGCACAGACAGCAGGCCCCGCGGCGGCCGCCGTGGTTAATGGCTCATATTAGCTGGAGCTGTACAATCATCCGAGCACTCGGTTAGCATTCGAATAATAATTTACCGAGACAATTACCACATACCGGAATTTTTCGCAGCCCTAATTCAGTATTATTAATAATGGATAAAATTGCACTTTTCTCAGGTTGCTGTGGGCAGCAGGGAATTATTTCAATGAATATTTCAGCACATTATTTTAATCATTGTCCCAGCAAGTCCAAGTGGGCAATATTTTATAGTTCTTAATCCAGTCTACCAGGAGGCCGAGGCCATTAAATCGCTCACTGTTGGTAGCGAGGTCTATGCTGTGATTTACAAGCCTCGTTAAAAACAGTGTAAAAGAATGCAAACTGCCATTAATATTTGTAATTTGATGCTGCATTTGTTACTAAACTCCCCGTGTTAAATGTTGTTTTAGCAGAAGGGAGGACATTAAAAAGAAAGCAGAGCTGGGTGTTAGAAAGCCTAAAATCAGGGAAGGCCACTCTGAGTTTTGTTCACTTGGAAACATACGTGTACCAACACAACCGTAAAATACAAATATCTCAAAAATTATCTGAATTTCCCAGTGAGACCAAAGGCGTGCTAAATTTTATAGAAGACTGTCTTTCCGGCCTGCGTGGTCAGCGATAGTGCTCACTGTCGCCCTTGTCCCTTCCCAGCCAGCTGCACGACTTCTGGCGCTTGGACTACTGGGAGGACGACCTGCGCCGGCGGAGGCGGTTTGTCCGCAACGCGTTCGGCTCCACGCACGCCGAGGCCCTGCTCAAGGCGGCCATCGAGTACGGTCAGTACCCGGTACCCAACCCCGCCCCCCCACCCCCACCCCGCCCTCGCTCCCTGGGCTGGGGACGCGTGTCCTTCCGTGGCCCTCAAAGCTCGGGCGTCCCAGGTCGAAATCTCCCGCTTTGCTGCACCCCTCAGCCCCGCTGGGGCGGCGCCCCATCAGCCCGCAGCTCCCCGCTCAGGGCATTTAGAGCTTCGAGTGCTTTCTCAGCCGTTCGGAGGCTCTGCGCAGCTGGGTGTGATTACCCAGCATCCCTGCCCCGCAGCCTAAACCGAGGGGGAAGTCGGCTCCTTGGCCGGTGTCTTTCGAGCTTTGGTGACCGGCCCCCGAAGTGCACGAATATACACGCGGTTGGTGCTGGTGAGCGCGCGTGCACATCCCCCCCCCCCGCCCTTACCTACACTCGTGTCTGTGTGTGCACCCCCACCCCATACCTACACTCGTGTCTGTGTGTGCACCCCCACCCCATACCTACACTCGTGTCTGTGTGTGCACGCGCGCATATGTACACTGGGTGAATGCGCATGGGCACTACGTGTATACATAGATACATGCACATACTTGTATTCACCTGAAACAACTGTCTTATCAATAATCTCCTCGCATGGCATTCTCTATCTTAATTCTATTCGACTTTATTCTTTTGAGTGAAAATGATAAGTAAGTAAAATAAATCCTGCTACAGACACGTTCCGTTAAGCCCCAGCCTCCGAGGGCCGCAAGGGCAGGGTGAGAGGGAGCGCCCAGCATGGAGGGCGGGACCCGCGGCCGCGCTCCGGGAGGGCGCCGCGCTGGCCCCTTCCGGAGTCACTGCAGAGCGGAGTCCGTCTGTCGCCTGCGGGGCTGCTGCTGCTTCCCTCGCTGTCCGCCAAGAAATATGCAGAGCGGCAGTATTTTGTCTATTTACACATTTTTAAGGGCTCTTGGCAAGTTAAGTTGGACTGATCGGATCAGAATTTTATAAACCATATATACATTTGAAAAAAAATTAATGAATAATGTCCATATATTTTTGTTATTAATCGATACAAAAATATATTAATATTTGTAAGAACTACTTACAATTAATAATTATAAGAACTACTTTTGTTCTTACAATTACGTGTGCTTTTATGTTAATTTCATTCATTTGAGAGTAAGAAGCACGCTAAGTGTTTTAAAATTTATCACAGCTTATAACTTATAAGACCATTCATGTTCTTGATGGATTGGATGGAGAAAATATTTAATTCTAGTAAAAAGAAAATTTGCAAACCTTTTAAAATTTGTTGTGCAAATAGTATGTGAATTGATGTAAATAGTAAGGCTCAAAATATAATTAAATACACGAGGATTTCATATGAAACTATTATACCTAAGATCATACCTTTATACAGTAAAAATCACTATAGGGATAATATACTAGAAAAAAATTATAATTGACCCTTGCTAGAGGGGCTTTCCTTAAAGAACTCAAAAGGTCATATAAGGATTTTAGCACCTAAGGATTTAGTACCAACTTAAAAGGAGGTATTATTTTTGTGCCCTTAAAAGAAATCCTTAGAAGTTTCTACTTAAGGTGGCATGCTTTATAATATGAACTTAAAGTTATTAAAACTTTGCTTCCTATACACAATTTAGAATTTTTCAGCAATTCATCTTGAATTCATCTCATTTGAAATTAGAAACATCTAGAGAGAATTCATGCTGAAGGTTACGCTAGAAGTGATATTATTAGTGATAATGATTTGCCAAAGCTTTAATCATATAGGATCCACATGATATTACTACATTCAGCGTTCTACAGGTTGCTTCAGAAAGGGGTCTGTTGGGGAAATACTTATTTGGGTTTCCTGTAAAAGTGAATGTTTTGTCTGTTTAATTTGTAAAGTATCTCTATTATTAAACCAATGTCAAAGCCTATCAGAAACAAATTTTAAAATATTTAATCTTAAATTCTTTTAAGACTGATAGTCATATTTTAGTATCATAATAACTTTTTTTAATTTTTAAAAAGATTGTATTTATTTATTTTCAGAGAGAGGCGAAGGGAGGGAGAGAGGGAGAAAAACATCAATGTGTGGTTGCCTCTCGTGCGCCCCCTACTGGGGACCTAGCCCACAACGCAGGGTATGTGCCCTGAATGGGAATCGAACCAGAGACCCTTTGGTTCACAGGCTGGCACTCAATCTACTGAGCCACACCAGCCAGGGCCATAGTAACTATTGTTAGTGAACCTAAACGAAAAAATAACACTCTAATTTCAAAATTGATAAAAGACACAGGTGATACTAAACATCCTCTGTATGTAGTGTAAGTGCATTTTAAAGTTTGTAGTGGTTTATGAATTTTAAATACTGTATCATCAACATTATCAGAACTTATCCCTCTTGAGTGCTGGGTTCTTTGATAAATATGAAGAGGAGTGTGTTCTTATTTTCTTCATATCTAAAACAAGGACCACATGCCTGCTGGAAAAATACTCAGGGAATCTACATTCTCCGTAGGCCAGAGACCCTCAGCGGTTGCCCTCAGAGGAGTCAGGTCTCGTAGGCAGGGACAAAGGAGCACGACACTGTTCCTCTGAAAACAAGTGACCGAATGTTTTGGATTGTGTAGACATGGGTGAAGGGTGTAATTGCAGCTCATGCCTACAGATTTTGGAGGAGCTTCAAGAACAGATTGAAATTCAGTTTATTCCTTCCTCTGTATTAATTACAGTATTTCAATTTCCCTGTAAATTCGATCTTGAAAATAAAACATTAAGTACACAGAAACTGCGGTAGGCCCTGGCCGGTGTGGCTCATTGGATTGAGTGCTGACAATCCAAGGGTTGTGGGTTCGATTCCCACTCAGGGCACCTGCCGGGGCTGTGGGCTGGGTCCCCAGTAGGGGGAGTGTGAGAGGCAACCACACATTGCTGTTTCTCTTCCTCTTTCTCCCTCCCTTCCCCTCTCTAAAAATAAGTAAAATCTTTAAGTTAAAAAAAGAAGAAAAATTGCAGTAGGCTTCAGTCAAAAAATTTTTTGTATTCATGTACATTGTGGCAAAAAAATGTTTTAGAAGCAAATGAATATTTTACAAATGGAACTTTCACTACGGCTAGAAGAATTGGAGTCAGTGATCAGCGTTTTCAGGATTTAAAGTTGTGCAAGCTGAGGGGATAGCCCTAAATGACAGAAGGCGGGGCTGCGCGCATGCCCATCTCCGCAGCCCCGAGGCTGACACCGGCGCAGCCCAGCCCGCAGCAGCGCGCTGTGCTTTGGGGACGGGCGCCCTGAGCTGCGGCATGTGCCTGGAACTGAATTAGCCGACTGAGTGTTTGAGCAAAACTGTTTAGAATTACTTGACTTTTCCTTAAATTCAAACATTTTAGATTAAATTATAGTTGAACTTTCATATGATGGACAGATGTAATTAGCCATGATTTGGATTTCTTGACACTCTCATCAGGTGATTTATTTGGAGGCACAAAACAAATATATTACAATGCTTTCTTTTAAATGAGCAAATAATCAGAATTGGATATGTTTTCAAGGAGACATAAGAACAATAATTTCATTTCATATTTACTTCAATCTCATTATTAAACTTTCAGTTGACCTTTTTTGGTTGGAAAGCATCCTTAACGCTGATGGAGTTTTTCATGCTTCTTAGTAATACTAATGAGTTGAATAATTTATGAGGTTGTCATGTGCAAAGGATTTTGTGTGATTTGATATACTTTCAGCCTCTGGTGTTGAAATGTGATTAATAAAAACCTAGAGGCATGTAATTTTTTCCTGGTGTTTAATGTTCTAATGTTGTATGTACTGAATGGGTTATTTAGGTGTTTTCTAATAGTAAAATCTCATACAGTTGCAACTTTAATTGATTACCAGGAATTTTACGGACCGTAGCAATGGAATAGCATAAGGAAAATATTTTAAAACTCACATATTCATCTTCTGACTTGCAACGTTTTTTGTTGTTTTTTTTTTTCTTCAGGGAAAATTAGCTAATAAGGAAGTGACTGAACAAGGGGGATTTTGTGTATTATTTGTATGTTTAAACAGAACCTATACAGTTTAACTTCTGGTGCATTTCTGATGCTCGATGATTATGCGGTCAAAGAATAGCACAAAATCCTACTAAGTTCTCTTGCCTTTGTTGTGTGTCAGTTCCCTTCAGTATGCTTTCCCTTCCATAAAGTTGTGGATGACAACGTTTCATCGAAGCCTCAGAGGGCAAGCTCCGCATGCTGGTGACCAAAGACAACACCTTAGACAGGTCCAATCAGGCGTCACTGAAGCAGGCAGGTGGCTTCAGCCAGAGGGAAAAAAACGTGGCACAAAGACGACAAAGTTAATCAGTCATTTCTTTGGCAATAAAGAATAAGATGTGCTGAGAGCTGCAAATGAGAACATCCTTAGGTTCCTCAGAGAGGCGTCCGCTTCACACCTGATTTATCTAAGCTTGTGAAGCCGCCAGGATTTGACCTTGATGCATAAAAAGCAGCTCTGTAATGAATCTGGAATTAAATTAGTTGCGCTGGTATATGCATGGTGCTGTGCTGCTTGCGGTCATCAAGAAATAAGAGAAGCACTCAGGATAGAAAACACTAACGCAGCAACGCAGGCGTTGAGAAGGGAACTCCAAATGATCTGATTTTATTTTTTCTGACTTTAGTTTTTGAAGAGTTTATAGTTATATTTGAGAAAGGTGATTTGTTTTTTCTTAACCCAGTAACCTATTGTTTGGATTCTACAGGAACATTAGCAAATGTCTTATTATTGGCCATTGATAGCTCCATGTTAGCTGGCACATTATTAATTGAATCTCCATATCGATGATGAACAGGTCACCTGAACACAGTTACAGTAACTTTTGGGGATGTTACTGGTGTAAACTGTTTGAGAGAGGAGGAGAGACAGACGAGCGGGGAACGGCGTCTGAGCTCACTTGGGCGCCAGTGTCCTCTGTTAGTATCATCGCCTGGTCTTCAGTCCTGTGGTTTTTCTAATCCCTCAAAGCCACTAAAA